GGCCTCAGCATGGCTGGAGAAGCCGTGCATCAGTGCGCGCCCGGGATCCGAACCCGGGCCGCCAGCAGCGGAGCGCGCGCACTCAACCGCTAAGCCACCGGGCTGGCCCTTAATATATTTTTTTATTGACATGCTTTCTCTTAATTTTTCATGCTTTCCTTTCTGTTTCTTTGTAGCTGAAAGATCAGATTTTGCAGACTGAACAGAGTTATAGTTCTGCGCTAGAAGGAATGAAGATGGAGATCTCACAGCTCACTCGAGAGTTACATCAGCGAGATATCACTATTGCTTCCACCAAAAGTTCTTCCTCTGACATGGAAAAGCGACTCAAAGCAGAGCTACAAAAGGCAGAGGAAAAAGCAGTAGAGCATAAGGTGAAGCTTGAACAAAAACTCTTCTTATTTGAAGTTTGTTTTTGAAGATTGAATTTATTTAAAATATAATTTCCATAGTATTTAATTCAGTAAATTTTTATTAGACACCTGCTTTGGGCTCAGAGTATGCTGGTTAACAAGCGTTCTAGTGAGGCTTGATGGGGAGGTGAGAGTAGATATAGACACGTAAAGAGACTATTTCTGTGGTGTATGGTGAGAGAGGGACATGTTCTTTGTGATAGACTAGAGTACCAGGGGCAAGTGGCCGAGATGAGACAGGAAAGCAGGGACTAGCTCCTGAGGGGCCCTGTCAACCACATGGAGGAGTTTAGTGTTGTCTTCAGGTCAGTAGAGAATAGCTTTAAGCAGGGTAAAAGGTCTCTGTGGTTGTCACATGAGGAAGAAGCAGGGACACAAAGAGACCACTCAGGTGCTGTTTCGGCAGTAAGATGGTGGCCTGAGGCGGGGGCAAGGGTGGTAGAGGGAAATGGATGAATTCTGGAGATATTTGGCTGGTAAAATTGACTGGACTTTGTGTTTGGTTTGATAGAGAGAAGAAGTTAGAGTTAAGGAAGGATGTCACTCAATGCCAGTTTGGGCAACTGAGTGGAAAGTGATGCTCTTTAGTGAAATAGAGAAAAGATAGGGAGCAGGTTTAGGGAGGATGAGGAATTTGTATGAAAAGTACACAAAATAGGGAAGCTGGTGGAGGGGACATTGGTTTGAGATAAAGATATTTCATATGGAAATATCTAATAGTCAATTCCACAGACGGCCTGGAGTTCGAGATTAAAATCAGGGTAAGACATTGAGCTCGAAGTCTTTGCTTGAAGTTGGCATTTGAAACAGCCTGAGGGGCTTAGAGATTATATGAGAAAGCGTAGAATATGAAGAGCAGAGACTTGAACCAAACTTAGGATACTACTCATTTAGGGTAAAAAGGTGTTGGAGTGGAGCTGAAAAAAAAAAAGTAGCAATAAGGAAAGAAACAAGATAGTTTTCACTTAGGAAGCAGGAAGCCAAGAAGGCAGGAATCTCTTCAAGTAGGAATTGTCAAGCAAAAAGGCCAAGGAGAGAGCTAGCCCTCATGGCCTAGTGGTTAAAGTTCAGCACGCTCTGCTTTGCCAGCCTGGGTTCACTTCCAGGTCGTGGAACCACACCACCTGTCTGTCAGTTGCCATTCTGTGGCGGTGGCTCACATAGAAGAACTAGAATGACCTACAGTTAGGATATACAGCTATGTACTGGGGCTTTGGGGAGGGGAAATAAAGGGAAGATTGGCAACAGATGTTAGCTCAGGGTGAATCTTTTCCCTGAAGACCAAAGCTAAGGAGAATGAGGACTGAAAATAAGTTACTGTATTGTGAAAGGAGTACAATTCTCATGATGTTGGAGGTAGAAGCCAGGTTAGAAGAGGTTAACCAGGAGAGTGATTCGGGATTTACCAGTGAACTGATTCATCTTCTTAGAATAATAGTTTAATTACATGTCTGTTAATTCATCTTGAAACATCTTTTTTTTTTTTTTTTTGTGAGGAAGATCAGCCCTGAGCTAACATCTGCCAATCCTTCCTCTTTTTGCTGAGGAAAGACTGGCCCTGGGCTAACATCCATGCCCGTCTTCCTCCGCTTTGTATGGGACGCCACCACAGCATGGTTTGCCAAGCAGTGCGTCAGTGCACGCCTGGGATCCGAACCGGTGAACCCCGGGCTGCCTCAGCGGAGCGCACTCACTTAACCGCCTGCGCCACCGGGCCGGCCCCTTGAAACACCTTTTTAAAAAATCCTTTTAGAAAATATTTGTGTATGTATCAATGAAGAATGTAACTTTGCCTAATGAAATTACATGTGCAAAAATTTTGTAAGATGCATTTGATTTATTTGTTATGTTTTTTCTGCTTTTCCCCTCAGGAGATTTTGGATCAGCTGGAGTCAGTCAAGTTAGAAAATCGTCATCTTTCTGAAATGGTGATGAAATTGAAATTGGGTTTACATGAGGTACGTAAATGGAAACTTAAGTTTTTCTACTATCCAGGCCTTTAAAAGAATCACTTTGTAAATATTGATATTGTAAAGAGAGAATTCAGATCAAACTATGGAATGATCCTTTTGCAGAAACTTTCAAATAAAACGAAGTCAAGACAATGATAGAAGTGAGCAAAATATGATTCTCTGCTCCAGCAATTGGAGGATATTTTTTATATCATGTATGTGATAAAATACATGTACAGTCTGTGTTCTTAATAGGGAGAATGTATTTAAGGGCTTAGCATAGTGCCTGGCATTTAGTAAGTACACAATAAATGTTAGATGCTGTTATTGTTATTGTAATTATTATGTTCACAATATCTTTTCATTATAAAGTATATTATCTTTTAAATAATTTAGTTTTAATTATATTTCTATAAAATATAATTCATTTAATCAAATATTCTAGAATCTTTTATGTTCAGAGCATTTTAGTAGATGTTGTAATGTACACAAGGATGAAGAAGATAGGATTCTTGCCCTTAAGAGATTGAGAGTAATCCAATAGGGAGGATGAGAAATGTATACAAGCTTATGTGAAACCAGAGAGCACGTGATTAGCTAACGGTGAGTCATAAACAGTGTCAGTGTTCTTTTAACTATTTTGTTATAAAATTCTTATAATTTGCAAAATGACCCATCTATTCTGACCCATGTTTTCTTTCTTTTTTTTTTTTTTTTTTGTGAGGAAAATCAGCCCTGAGCTAACATCCATGCCAATCCTCCTCTTTTAGCTGAGGAAGACTGGCCCTGAGCTAACATCTGTGCCAATCTTCCTCCACTTTATGTGGGAGGCTGCCACAGCATGGCCTGACAAGCGGTGCGTCGGTGCGCACCTGGGATCTGAACCCCGGGCCGCCAGCAGCGGAGCGTGCCCACTTAACCGCTATGCCACGGGGCCGGCCCCTGACCCATCTTTTCTTCATGTAGGTCAAATGCCCCAAGATAGTAGAAATTCTTTTGTTCTGTACTTCCGGAGATTATGTGTCTCTAAAGATGCACAGGTACGCAATGCCCCTATTTGCTCCCAAGTAGTTCTGATTTCACAATTATGGATTATGGAGGCTGGGATGGGAGAAAGTGCAAATGCTATATGAATACTTTATTTCAACTGAAAGAAAATATAGAGCATGACTTTTATAATCTTTGGGAGGGTAAGATTCTCTTAGCATCATGAAACCATAAAGGGTTTTACAACATAAGGAATTTTACGACGTAAAATTTCTAGATGGCAAAAGACCCCATAAAAAAAGACTTAAAGGGGGGTCGACCCAGTGGCATAGTGGTTAAGTTTGCACGCTCTGCTTCAGCGGCCTGGGGTTTGCAGGTTTGGACCTATGCACTGTTCATCAAGCGATGAATCCCATATATAAAGTAGAGGAGGATTGGCACAGGTGTTAGCTCAGTGACAATCTTCTTCAAGCAAAAAGAGAAGGATTGGCAACAGATGTTAGCTCAGGGCCAATCTTCCTCACCAAAAAAAAAAAAAAAAACACTTAAGAGGTCAGCCTGGTGGCATAGTGGTTAAGTTCATGTGCTCTGCTTCAGCGGCCCGGGGTTCACAGGTTTGGATCCTGGGTGCAGACCTATGCACCGTTCATCAAGCCATGCTGTGGTGGCATCCCATATACAAAATAGAGGAAGATGGACACACATGTTAGCTCAGGGCTAATCTTCAGCCAAAAGAGGAAGATTGGCAACGGATATTAGCTCAGGGCCCATCTTCCTCACCAAAAAAAAAAACAAAAACAAAAAAAAAGACTTAAGAGATTAAGGGAAAACAATCTATAAACAGACAAAAGATTAATATAAAATACTAATGTATAATGAATTCCTACAAAGATAATAAAAAGATAATCCAGTAGAAAATGGGCAAAGGACATAAGTAGATAATTCATAGAAGTAATACAAAAATCCAGTAAATAAGGAAAGCTGCTCAACCTCCCTAATAGTCAAAACAAAATGAATATTCTTTTGCTAATTAGATTGACAATGATTTTTAAAAACTAATATAGCCAGTGTTGGCGAGGATATAGGGAAACAGCCTCTTTCATGCTCTGTTAATGAGAAAGTGAACTGATATAGCCTTTCTAGAGGACAATTTAGCAAAACCCATCAAACTTGTAAATATATACAGCCTATGGACTCCAGAGTCATGTGCATTTCTGATTTTGATAGTCATTGCTGAATAGTTCTCCAGAAAGTCATATTAGTTTGCTTTCTCAAAGAACCCATACTATAGGAGCAAATGTGCAAAAATGGTCATTTCATTGTTGTTTGCAATAGCCAAAATTTTTTTTATTGATGTCATAATTGTTTATAACATTATGAGATTCCAGTTGTACATTATTATTTGTCAGTCACCATATAAATGCGCCACTTCACCCCTTGTGCCCACCCCCCAACCCCCTTCCCCCTGGTAACCACCATACAGTTCTCTCTGTCCGTGTGTTGGTTTACATTCCATGTACGAGTGAAATCATGTGGTGTTTGTTTTTCTCTCTCTGGCTTATTTCACTTAACATAATACCCTCCAGGTCCAACCATGTTGTTGCAAATGGGACAATTTTGTCTTTTTTTTTTATGGCTGAGTAGTATTCCATTGTATATATGTATACCACGTCTTCTTTATCCTGTCACCTATTGATGGACACTTGGGTTGCTTCCATGTCTTGCCTATAGTGAATAATCCTGCAATGCGCATAGGGGTGCATAAGCCTCCTTGGATTGTTGATTTCAAGTTCTTTGGATAAATACCCGGAAGTGGGATAGCTGGATCATAAGGTATTTCTACTTTTAATTTTTTGAGGAATCTCCATACTGTTTTCCATGGAGGCTGCACCAGTTTGCATTCCCACCAGCACTGAGTGAGGGTTCCTTTTTCTCCACATCCTCTCCAACATTTGTTATTTTTTGTCTTGGTGATTATAGCCATTCTCACGGGTGTAAGGTGATATCTTAGTGTAGTTTTGATTTGCATTTCCGTGATGATTAGTGATGTTGAACATCTTTTCATATGCCTTTTAGCCATCTGTATATCTTCCTTGGAAAAATGGCTGTTCATATCCTCTGCCCATTTTTTGATTGGGTTATTTGTTTTTCTGTTGTTCAGTTGTGCGAGTTTTTTATATATTATGCAGATTAACCCCTTGTCAGATTCATGATTTGCAAATATCTTCTCCCAGCTGGTAGGTTGTCTTTTCATTTTGATCCTGGTTTCGTTTAATAGCCAAAATTTTGAAATAAACTAAATGTTAATCTGTAGAGGGATGGTTAATTTGTTGCTTTCTATACTATGAAATATTGTGCTGTAATTTAAGGTGGCAGATGAAAGTATGCATCTAATCTTGCTCCTTCCCCAGATCCCTCTAAAACTATAATGAAAGGATTTTTTAAAAAGCGCAAACCAACAAGGATGGGAAAAATAGGAGAGGAGACAACAGCTAAACATTTTGTAATGGGGGAAGATGGATGGATAGAAGGATAGAAGGAAGATGACTTTATATGCCGTGGTAAAGCCAATAGTAAGCTAGTAGTGGAGAAAGCCAAGAACCAATCTTATTTACACCACAGAATCTTCAAAAGGCTCAGGATTTGGCAATACCTGACTGAGAGAATCTTATCTTGTGCAGTGATTACCTGTTCATATTTAAGAGTTGGGAACTCTCACGGGTGCGTAAGCTAGACTATGTTCAGAGATTCTGTTTGGCTTAATTTCTTCTGAAACCTCCATCTAACAGTGGTATTACTGTCCTTTCCTTACACAGCCAGATGTGTGCTTGCTGTACAGTTTTTATATTATCTTTCACATTCGTTTATCTGTAATTGTTATTGATAAAATAATAAATCTGAGAAAAATTTAAAAGATACCTAGCAAAGGCAAACATTACCTTTTTTAAAAAGGTATATTTAATGACATCAGACTCTGGCTGGTGAATATCCTGTCAGCAGTTTGAACTTCCTCTGGTTTTGAGTTATACACAGTGTGAATATGATGTACCTATTAAAAATAATTATTAGAAAGTAACTTTTTGCATTTTACCACCTAGGAAGGTAGAATTACTTTTACAAATGAATGTGTGGGTTAAATAACTATTTTAATAAAATTAATTATCTTAATAAAAGCAATAGCTCTGACAACATAAATTATTTCCACATTTAAAAAAATTGACAGTAGTTTACAGTTTAACTCGTATGTACTGCAAATTTTTTCTTTTTTGAGATTTTATTTGGCGGTGACAACTTATAGAAGGATTTTATAACTTATTTTCGCTACTGGAACACAGATAGTTAGGAGGTCGTATTTTAAGTTCATGTTTTTAGGTCAATTTTCTCTGTCAAACCGCTCTCAACCAGCTTATTTTCAGAAAATTCTTTATAGAAAAGACCAAGCTAAACATCAGACTAAACTCAGAAGAAGATTACCATAGTTTCTCAGAATGCTAATGAAAATATTTTGTCATTAGAAAAAAATGGTTCAGACTACTGTTTTTTGAGGTACTGTATTACCAGGAAACGCCTGGAATTGAAGAGCAATAAAATTTATGATCACAGAACTCAGACCAGCTCAGAGTAGTAATTCCCACCTGATACTTGAATGCTGCTTTATCATGTCCCATTTACTGTAAGAAACAGAACGCTTTTCCTCTCTTAGTCTTAAAAGGACCAAAAACAAATCTTCACTTTTTCCAAAGTAAAGCTATAGGTGAACTAATTACAACTAAAAAAAATGTGATTTTTCCACCAGCAGTGTCACATCTCGCAAGTATTCTGATACAAATTACGTGACTTGAATATTCTTTTTTATTAGGCAAAAGAGATTTCACTAGCAGACCTCCAGGAGAATTATATTGAGGCATTAAATAAATTAGTGTCTGAAAATCAACAACTACAGAAAGATTTGATGGATACCAAATCTAAGCTGGAGATTTCTACTCAGATGTGCAAAAAAAACCATGACAGGATCTTTAAACCAACACACAGCAGAGCACCTGAGTTCAAGAATACAGAGTTCAAGTACAATTTCTTCACAGTTTGTTTAAAATGTGTATCATTGTAATATAATTCTCATTTCTTTGAGAATAATTTCTAACTTACAGAAATTAATTCTTCATCAAGGGACTCTATGTTTTATTCTGAAGTACAGTGTGCACTAGTAAACTACTCTATCTGCTGCTATCAGGTTAACAAGTGAAGGGGGTTATGTAGCACTTGGTCAAGCTTTAGTTTAGACACTCAGGGTGTAGGTATATGCCTCCCACCTCCCGAACCCCACTTGCCCTATAAGAAGTAAAAGTTGGCTTTTTATTTTATTTTATTTTATTTTATTTATTTATTTTTTTTTTCAGAAGTTGGCTTTTTATAAGAAGCTTCTTTGGTATTTTTGGTCAATTAATTATAGGCTGTTACCGTAAGAAGTCAGCATTCGGTGAAAAACCTCCTGGCTTCAGCTCTTACTATATGGTTTACATGTTCTCCTACCAAAAGCCTTTGGGGATGCCCTCACGCCTACTCCCACCTCCACCCCCAGATGAAGGGAGGTGCCCTTCCTATGTGCACAGTACTTCCCCTGCCCAGCACTGACCACTCTGGATTACTCTGGCAGCTTGTCTGCCTTGCTGTATTGTAAGTGTGTGAGGGGAGAGGCCTGGCCGTGGGGATTGGATATTTGGGGCCGGAATGAAAAGAACATCTGGTCTGAGTGGGCTGCTCATTTTATAAATTACAGCCTTACTAGTTAGCCTGTTCCTTTATTTTTAAGCGAACTTCGTACAACATTTCTGTTTTAAAAGAGAAAAGTTGCAACAATTTTTGTTTTGTTTTCTAATCTGCTATCCAGGCCAACCCATGGCCAGCACAGACATGATGGAATAAAGACTGACCACTACAAAACAGGCCTTCATTCTCCGAGAGGACAAGCGTCGGATAGTACAGAGCCCGTGTCCAGGGTCCTCAGCCCCCTGAGTCCTCAAATCAGCTCTTGCAGCTCCACCATCTCTTTGCCTTCTAACTTTCTGTGTAAAACTCAGTCTTTGCCTTCAGTGCTAGATACAAATGAAGCCAGTTTTTCTGACACTGTCTCTGAGAGTATAAATGACCACGAAGAGTTTATATCTTCGGTATGGAAACTTTCTGATCTTACTGGTTTATTAAGTTTATTTAGTTTGATTTTATTTTTTATTTTAAGAGTGATGAAGATGATGGGTTTTATTTTTCCTTATTGGTTCTCTATCTTAGGTACCCTTTATTGTTCTCCTGTATTTCTGTCTTACGGTTTTGCTTGAGAAGACATGTTCAGCCACCATTATTTTTCAGAATACATCTTAGTTCTGAAATATAAGTTACAGGCATTCATTTGGTTTTAACCCTAATTATAAATTCCTTTCCTGTGTTTTTCAGAGAGGGTCAATTTTGTGTTGGAATGGTTGGTTCAAGGAATATCTCTGGATGCCAAGATGGTCCTGAGGCATAGACAGTGAAGGAGGAAAAAAGGAACAGCTGGAAAGGGAAAAGGAGATGGATGGGGTGGAGGAAGGAATTGCATCTGACATGTCCAGAGCATGGATTCGATGCCACGTGGTGGTGGCCCTGACGGCAAGGGCTGCCCTTTGACGCTGTGCTGGCCCCTTGTTCCTGCAGCTGCTCTGCAGCCTCTACTGTCTTTTTTGCCTTCTGTACTGAAGCAGTTGCCTTGGGCCGTTCATTCCCATCACCAGTTATATGGTCCTATACCTGTGAAAGTCCAGTATTTTTGACTTTTTAATGTGCCAAAAAGTCCATGGAAAGGTTTTCTTTTTGTTTTCACAATGTAATTCTGAAGTCCAAAAAAGTCCTGAAAACTAACTTTCTTCCTGAGTTTGGCAGCAAAACTTATTTTGCACTAAAGCCTGACCTGGCCTGAACTGACCTGATGTGATGATATGTGTAGACTTTATCACACTTAGCATTTTATTAAAAAAATGTTTTGATTATGGGATGTTACCTCAGACTCCTCTAGGGTAATACAGTTGATCCTCATTAGTCGTGGATTCTGTGTTTGTGAATTTGCCTACTTGCTAAACCGTCTGTAACCCCAGTCAGTAAACGGCACTTGCAGTCATTCGTGGATGTGTGCAGAGCTGCAAAAAACTTGTGTCACTGGACTTGCACTTTCCCAGCTGCGGTCCGCCAGGGTGGCCCTCTGCCCCCCCGTTGCAGCTCTCATCCAGAGACAGCCGGAGGATGGAGCTGGTAGGGCAGTGCGGTGCGGTGCAGGAAGCTCAGGCGCTGGGGCCCAGTGAACAGGGTTTGAACCCAAATCTGGCACTGTTAGCGGGGTGGCCTCAGTCAGGTCACTAAACGCTTCTCGACCTTGTTTTCTTTTTTGTAAAATAAAGAAAATGGAATCTACCAGGATGAGTTGTTTTCAGGATGATAATCTATATGAGAAGTGTGTGTATATTTTCCTAGGAGCAATGGTTCTGTGTTCACTCATTCAGCGTTTGAGGTGACTTCATAGAAAATAACTACTGTGAATGAGGGTCGACTGTATGTGGTATATGTCCGTGTTACCTTCCTAAAATCTGAATTCTGAAATACCACTGGCCCCAAGGGCTTCAGATAAGGAACTGGGACTGAAATTTTGGAGGAGGGAAAATACTGATTTTAACTGGTGTCTAATATGTTATAGGTGGATTTTCTGTGCTTTAAAATGAAAGTAACATATTCAGATTTTAAAAGTGAGTATGAAAGAACAGCATTAAGTCTATTCTCTTCTGGATGCAGAAGGATATACAAGTCTAAGTTGAAATAGTCTTCAGACCAATAACCAATACCTTACTTTTATATGACACTTTATACAGCTTGGGTCAGGAAGGGAGAGAGATGTGTTAATTTTTTTTTTTTTTGTGAGGAGGACTAGCCCTGAGCTAACATCCATGCCAATCCTCCTCTTTTTGCTGAGGAATACTGGCCCTGGGCTAACATCCGTGGCCATCTTCCTCCACTTTATATGGGACGCCACCACAGCATTGGCTTGACAAGCAGTGCGTCGGTGTGCGCCCAGGATCCGAACTGCTGAACCCTGGGCCGCCACAGCGGAGCGCGCGCACTTAACCGCTTGCGCCACCGGGCCGGCCCTGAGATGTGTTAATTTTTGCAGAACTTTTTTTTTTTTTTTTTTTTAACTATTCTTGTCATTAGGATAAAAACAAAGAAATATCTCTTCAGAGGAAAACGTATTTTTAAAAAGTCACTTTTTGTTATTGCTAGTTAGAAAGTATCATGAATAATGTGTCTTACAAATATACTATTCAACTTACGTATGTCAAAATTTGTTTCTTTTCCAGTGTGCCTTGCCCGTATCTCCCCTTGGGTCAATAGCTACAAGGTTTTTGGAAGAGGAGGAACTGAGGTCCCATCATATTCTAGAGCGGCTGGATGCCCACATTGAAGAACTGAAAAGAGAGAGTGAAAAGACGGTGAAACAATTCACAGCCCTAAAGTAGCCTCTCCAGAATCACAAACTTGGAAATAAAAATAAACAACACAGAGCTACTGTCATCTGAAGTAGTGCCTCTTTAAAAACAGGAATGCATAAAAATCGCCCAGGTGAGACATACTAAAGCCGTTATGAAGAAATCTGAAAAGCTGTTACTTCTTTAAGGCATTTTCACTGCACTGGTTTATTTGAAGGACTTTTTCCAGCAATAACTTGGAAGAATAAACCACTTTGCTAGACTTTTTTTCTCATATTAATATCTATTATCATAAAATAATACTTTCCTTTGCTGACTTAAATGTGAAAAACTATAGACTAATTAAAATAAAGATTTTTATGATACATGATGAAAATAAAGTAACTATAGGAACTTCCTATAAGGGAAATACGTAGTAGAAGTATGGATTTGAGTCAAACTGATCTGGACTGATATACTGGTTTTGCTACTTACTAGCCAATTGGGCTGGTACTGTGCAAAGTCGGGCTGGAAGTGTATAAAGGGGCTAGAGAACTTTGACCTGAAGCCCTCTTTTACTCAAACGCAAGTGTAAGAGAGAGGTAGAGGGGGTGACAGCGGCTGGTTTTAGTGTGTGGTGCCTGTGGAACATCCATGGAGATGTTTGGCAACTGCATTTCTGGAGAGAGGTTTAAGGGAGAGATCAGAGTGCAGGAGGCCTTTGAAACCATGGCGAGTTGATAAGATCCACCTGATGAGATCTCCTGAGAAGAGTGTGGAGAGAGAGAGAGAAGAGCAGAATGCAGGGCTTGGGGCCCTGAAGGATGCCAGTGTATGGAAATAGATCCGCAGAGGAGCTAGAATGTGCAACTGGAGACAAGAAGGTAAAGTGGACTGTACTTGCCAGGTCAAGGATGTGGCTCCCGTGATTCTCCCCTCTCAATGGATCTTTCCTATCAGCATACAGGCACCCTGTTATTTCTCCTTTCCTTAAAGCAAAACAAAACCTCAAGTCCATATGCTCTCTAGCTACTGCACCATGTATTTGCTCCCCTTCACCCAAACGTTTCTGGCAAGACTTGTCTGCAGTGACGGTTTCCACTTCCTCACCTCCCATTCTCTTAACCCTCTCCCACCCCACTTCTATCCCCACCTGTAAAACTGCTCTCTTGCTTCTGAGGTCACCACTGACCTAATTAGTCCCTGAGCATCATTTCATTTCACACACTTGGCCTCTCCCTCTAACTCTCTTGGCTTCTATGACCTGACTTTCCTGGTTTCCCACCTATCTCACTGGCACTCCATCTCATTCTGCTTTTCTGGCTTTTCGTCTTCTAAAGACCTCCCCTAGGGCTTTGATGTGGGTTTTCTCAGTCAACATACTCTTCCCTAGAATGTTCCATTTGATTCTCAAGCTTTTAGTCCCATCTAAAGGCCAGTGACCCCTACATTCAAAACTAATCTTCACCTCTCCCCAGAGCTGCTGTCTTAGATACCTAACTGCTTATGGAATATCTTCACTTGAATGTCTGATAAGCATTGTATGTTGAACATTTCCGGGAGAGAACTGTTGATTCTCCTGCTAAGATTCCATGTCAGGACAGCATCATGTTTGCCAGTTGCTAGGAGTTATCCTTAATTCCTTCCTTACCCATACCTCTACACCCAAGCCATTGGGAGGACCTGTCAGTTCTGCCTCCAAAATCCATGTCAGACCCAACCATTTCTCTCCGTCTCCACTGTTGCCACCCTGATCCAGTCTAAGCCGACTCTCACCTAGATTCCGGAAGTAGCCTCCTAACTGGTGTTACTCCTACTCCTGACCCCAATAATTCATTCTCCTCAGTGCCTCCAGAGTTATCCTTTAGAAATGTAAATGAAACAGTGTCACCACTACTTCCCTTTATTAAAACCCTTCAAAGTCTTCTTCACTCAGAATAAATCTGAATTGCTTACCGTAGCCTCCAAGGCCCTCTGTAATCTGGGCCTGTCTCCATCACCACTGCATCCTCTTTCTTTCATTGTGCTCCAGCCACGCGGGCCTCCCTTCGGTTTCTTGAGTTGCCACCAGCTTTAACTGGTCAGGGTCGTTGCGCTTGCTCTTTACCTGGAATCCCTTTCTCCCACCTCACCCGTGACTGGTGTTTTCTCCTCTCTCAGGTCTACACTCAAACGTCCCCTCTGGAGAAAGCCTTCCCTGACTGCTGCTTCCAAAACCTTCTCCCTGTTTCTCTAGCTCACTGTCCTGAGTTATTTCCCTCCTAGTACTCACCACTCTCTGAAGTCATTTGTTACTTGATTTACGTTTTCATTGTCTGTTTCTACTTTTAGAATTAAGCTCCTTGAGGGCCAGGCCTTTGCCTGTCTGGTGTGTGGTGGGGTCCTCGTCACCCAGCAGGAGCCCAGCACTTGGGAGGTGCTCACATAGCTTGAAGTGGTGGATAAATGTCCTCTCTCAGACGCACCAGGTTTTCCCGTCGTGCCTTTGCACATGTGTCCCTTGGGTCGGCCTCCTCTTCCCACACACTTTCACGTGCCCCTATTATCTTGCTTGGCAAAGCTTTCCCACACCCCCTGACCAGACTCAGGGAGGTTTCTCCTCGTTTCTCGCAGCACCCTGTCTGTGCCCCTCTGGAAGCACTGACTACACCGAGCTGTCCTCTTCAAATTCTGTCCCTCCCACTAAACTGAAAACTTTAGAAGCAGGGACTGGGTCCTGCCTAGATCCTCAGTCAGCATGCTGCCTAACTCATGACAGATACTAAGCAAACACTGGATGAAGGAAGCCACTCCCATTCAGAGCTTCATTGTTCTTACCTGTAAATGGAGATAATACCTCATGGGGTTGAGGGGATTTACTGAAAATGTATTTCTGAAAGGGCTTTGCAGACTCTGAAAATACTATTCCCATGTGGATTGGTCTCAGGGGACTTCTGAGTTTCAGACTGTCCCAAGCTTCCACTTAAATATGTAGAGTACAGCCCCTTCTTCTGAAATTTCCTTAGTATGTGTTGACTGGGAGGAACAGTGACGGGCTCTGTAGTCACTGGAGGTACCTAAGGAGTCATGAGGTACCATGTACTTCCTTAAATTTATGCTTTGTTATTTAAAGTTGAAGTAGTTAACTGATTGTCTAAATTGTCAGAACATTTTATAGTAATTTAGTCTCTCAGCTTCATTTTTAAAAAAGATATGCCAAATATTAAAATGTGTCATAACTAAATTTGAGTTAGTGTTTTTTGTGTGTGTGTGAGGAAGATTAGCCCTGAGCTAACATCTGTCGCCAGCCCTCCTCTTTTTGCTGAGGAAGATTGGCCCTGGGCTAACATCCATGCCCATCTTCCTCTATTTTATATGGGATGCTGCCGCAGCATGGCTTTATAGGTGGTGCATCGGTGCGCGCCCAGGATCCGAACCTGCAAATCCTGGGCCCCCAGTGCGGAGCCCGTGCACTTAACTGCTACGCCACTGGGCCGGCCCCGAAGTTTGAGTTAGTTTCTTAATACACATTTTGGAAAATCAGTGATCAGGGTACCCAGGTGAGATGAAGAGATGAGGGGGCTGTAGTCTACTGTTGGTGTTTACAGGTAACGTCTTGTTGGATGAGTTATCTATTCCTCTTGGCCTGGATTCCCAGTGAAGTTTTGTCTGGATTTCTGTGCAGATTTTAGCTGAGGAGGACGAAGCTGAGTTCCCATTGTGGGTGGGGCACTACCTTTCTTTCCATGGAGCCTCATTTGATCTCAACGAGTCTAGGAAGCAGTGGGTGTCATTGTTCCCATGTGACAAGGAGGATTTAAGTGGATTGCCCAGGGTTCCAAAGCCCGGGCTCTTTCTAGCAGAGCCTAAGGGTGGAGAGTGGACTGCAGGCAGATGACCCTGTTCCTAATCTAGCTCTGCCACTTACTAGCTGTGTGACCTTGGGCACGTTCATTAACCTCTCCAACCCTTAGTTTTCTCATCTGTAAAGTGGGGGAAATAAAAATTGTACCTACCTGGTAGGGTTTTTGTGAAGATTAAATTAACATGTGTAAAGCACTTAGAACAGGGCCCAGCCTAGTGAGCTCTATCAAAGTACCTTGTTGACTAGACAAAATACAACACTGTGTTTCTGTTAGGTCTACGTAACTCCAAAAAATTCTACCTTCCCTCTAATACACAGACATATAACACCTGGTAGACGATAGGCGATGGTTATCTGTTTGCAAAACACCCTTGAGCCCAGTACCTAAAAGTTACAGGTGAGAAAAAGAACTGTGTCTGTGACTGAGAACATACGTTAAACAAACAGTTGTTGTGAACGGCACTCAAGTACAGCATGGCAAGGTTAGGAAAAGAAATTTGTTTACTTGTTCTAAAAGCGCTCTGAGATAGCATACAAGAATGCATCAAAAAGAAACAAACAGTGGAATCAGGGCAAAGGGAAAATGAAGGCAGTAAATGTTGAGTCGCAAACAAACGTCTCGTCCAGTCCGGTCACTAGAGGCAGGCAGCAGCATTACCTCTGAGCTGCTTAAGGGCAAAAGCAGAGAAGAAAACATTACTTAAAAGCTTTATGGTGCCCACAAGATCAAAACAGACTGTGGCTTCAAGAGAAGCACATCTTTTCCTGAGTGTGTGTATGAGCGTCTGGCTAGGTGTACGAGCATAAGGAGAGGTCCTACAGCATTTGGTAACTGATAATAATGAGAGAACCTGTCCAGCTTCCTCACAGTGGCCTTCAGTGCAGCTGATGGCATAAGGCTGAAGTGCAATTCAGAAGAACCAGTTCTGAGGTGGTCCCAAACATGGTGGTGTAAAGCTCTCGTGGCCTGGCTTGATCAAGGGAAAATGTAGAGGAATGATGGACTGCAGGCGTTTAAAGCAATCTTCTATACAAGCTGTTTCACTACAATGCAATTTCGATAATTCAAATAGTTCACTCTTTTTTTCTCTGTGGGAACCTAGAATTTGGGAATTTTATGTTGCCGATGAAGACCAGGTTTGAGTGATTTGACAATCCAATCAGAAGTAAGTTTATACACCTCTTATGAAAAGAAAGAACCTGATCAAGGCAATGCTTGAATGGTGGAAGGTCCAGGAACTCCCTAATAATAAATGCAAAATATATAAATATGCATATGTATAGTTTTCTGTGGCAGAGGGTCCATAGTTTTCATCAGACTCTCAAAGATATCTGTGAACCAAAAAGATTAAGAACCACAACTTTGGGCCAGCCCGGTGGCGCAAGCGGTTAAGTGCGCGCGCTCCGCTGCAGCGGCCCAGGGTTTGCCGGTTCGGATCCCAG